AGTCTAACACACTAGCAGACACGCACACACACATAAACACACACACAGACACACACACGCACACGCACACGCACACGCACACGCACACGCACACGCACACGCACACCCACACACCCACACACGCACGCACGCACGCACGCACGCACGCACGCGCGCGCACGCACACACGCACACGCACACACACACACACCCACACACACACACACACACACACGCACGCACGCACGCACGCACGCACGCACGCACGCGCCCACACACACACACACACACGCACGCACGCACGCACGCACGCACGCACGCACGCACGCACACGCACACTCACAAACAAGAACACGCACACCCACCAAAAAATAACACAGACACACCCACTCCAACACACACACACACACCTTCACACTCAAACTCACGCCCACACTCACACTCGCGCGCACGCGTACGCTCACAACCACACCCGCTTGCGCGCACACACATGCACACACGCGCGCGCACGCGCACACGCGTGCACACACACAGACACACACACAAACACACAACCACACACACACACATAAACACACACACACACACGCACACGCACACCCACACACACACGCACGCACGCACGCACGCACGCACGCACGCACCCACCCACGCACACGCACACGCACACACACACACATATATACATATACACATACACACATATACACATATACACTTATACACATATACACACATACACACATATACACATATACACATATACACACACATATATACATATACACATACACACATATACACATATACACATATACACATATACACACATACACACATATACACACAAATACACACACACACACCCACGCCCGCGCGCCCGCGCGCACGCGCACGCGCACGCGCACGCCCACGCCCACGCCCACGCGCACGCGCACGCGCACGCGCACGCACACGCACACGCACACGCACACGCACAAGCACAAACACAAACACAAACACAAACACAAACACAAACACAAACACAAACACAAACACAAACACAAGCACAAGCACAAGCACAAGCACAAGCACAAGCACAAGCACAAGCACAAGCACAAGCACAAGCACAAACACAAACACAAACACAAACACAAACACATACACACACACACACCCACCCCCACCCACGCACGCAAGCACGCACGCACGCACAAACAAACAAGCACACGCACACCCACCAAAAAAAGCACAGAAACACCCACTCCAACACACACACACACACTCTAACACACTAGCAGACACGCACACACACACATAAACACACACACACAGACACACACACGCACACGCACACGCACACGCACACGCACACGCACACCCACACACCCACACACGCACGCACGCACGCACGCGCACGCACAAACGCACACGCACACACACACACACCCACACACACACACACACGCACGCACGCACGCACGCACGCACGCACGCACGCACGCGCCTACACACACACACACACACGCACGCACGCACGCACGCACGCACGCACGCACACGCACACTCACAAACAAGAACACGCACACCCACCAAAAAATAACACAGACACACCCACTCCAACACACACACACACACCTTCACACTCAAACTCACGCCCACACTCACACTCGCGCGCACGCGTACGCTCACAACCACACCCGCTTGCGCGCACACACATGCACACACGCGCGCGCAGGCGCACACGCGTGCACACACACAGACACACACACACAAACACACAAACACACATAAACACACACACACACACACACACACGCACACCCACACACACACACACACACACGCACGCACGCACGCACGCACGCGCCCACCCACGCACACGCACACGCACACGCGCACGCGCACGCGCACGCGCACACACACACACACATGCGCACACACGCGCACCCACGCAAACACGCGCACACGCATGTTTACTCGCACACACACACACACACACACACACACACACACACGCACACTCGCACACTCGCAAACACGCAAACACGAATCACACACAAACATATACACACAGCCGCACAGCCACACAACCACACACCTACACTGCCACACAACCACATTGCATGCTGTTAATTTCTAATTACTTCAAAACATGTTCAGGGCATTTTGCCCTTGCATAGAACGTGTTAAAAGGCCGTTCCTTTCTTTCGATGCCTCGGTGTCAGGCTCCACGCGGAGATGGAGGCTGGGCACGTGCTGCAGGGCTTCACCGCGGCCTGGCCGAGCTGGGCGCCCACCTACCGCGTGCTGCGGCGCGCGGGGAATTTCTTCGACAGAGAACGGGCGCCTTGGAACATCGGGTTCCCAGCAAGAAACAACAAGTTTTCGGGTTGGCCAGGTATCTTTAAGACAGACACCCGAGTGATGCATTGTTGGGGATATTTGTGGGGTTTAGGTGTGCAGCTTTGGTGACGAAGGGAATCCTTTTTGAAGTGATCACATAGTCATAAATAATTTCGCAGAGAAGTTTGCTTTATCCACAACCATGGAGTTGCGAAGGAGTAGGTGCTTCAAAAAGGGTGTGCGGTGAGTGGAGGGTACATTGACAACAAATCTAGTTGAGCTTATGCACTGCAAAACGACCCACAGGTATGTGTTCGCGCCGGTGAGGGCTGCACAGAACCTTTCTGGCACGGGGGGGAAGTGCATGGAATCCTAGGCACTATGTTCCTTCTTTTTCTGGGTTGGTGCGATTGAAACACATGAAACACATGCACGCCCTCTTCCCCTTTCAAGCCGCAAGTTAGACCGGATCCAGCCCAAAACAAGGCAACACACACACCAAGATGATCCAAGAGGAGTCAGCACCCCCCCCCCCCAACCCCTTAAGAACGGAGTCATGGGAAGATTAGTTTCGACCCGTGGAGTTTGAATGGTTCCATTTTCCTTCCGTGCTTGGAAGCAAGAACAATTGTCGATTGGGGACCAAATCGCCGTCCACCTAAGGTCCCGAAGACAAACCTCATGCGAGGCGGCCTTCACCATCCCTTGTTGTTTCCCTTGTTGTTTGGTGTGTTTTCACGTGTTGCAGAGGCTTTGTGACAGACGTTACATATTTATGTGACATGTTGCCCTTTGTTTTGCGGTCCACAAAAGGACGTTGGCAGTTGAAACAGGGTCGTGGATGACCATTTAGCGCGGGGTAGAACATTGATCTTGGATTCCTTTGACTTTCCTTCTTCGGCCCGGGTCGTTTTCACGCCGCTTCTAACCCTCTCGGATGAGGTGCCCTCCTACTGCGACCGGGTGCTCCACCGAAGTCTGCCGGGCTGCCAAGGCGCCCTGCTGCTGCAGAGCTTCACCTCAGCGCCCGAGGCCCGGGCCAGGGGGTCCCAGCGACACGTGCTGGGCAGGGATACTCCCAGTGGGGTCGGGGTGCCAAGATTGGCATGTATGGATTTATTTTCATGTGTACATAAAGTATGTCCTGTGTGCTGTTGTTTGTTTTTTGGGGGGTGAGGCTCAAACATGGCAGGGTGTTGATGCCTTGAAGTGTGTTGTTTGTTTTCTCTTTCTTTCCTTTTGTTTTTCTGGGGATCGTTGGCAGAAAGGCTTTCAAGGCTGATTTTGCTGATTTCGTGCCAGCATTTCCGATTTTCCCTAACACTTGGGGGTTACTTTGCGCATGGTAAACTCATGCACCCTGTTGTGATCTTGTAAGGTTTCCCTTTGAACATGCTTTGCATTTGAGATGATGCCGGCCGTTTGACCTTGATGGCTTTTCTTGGAGTTCAGGCTTTGGGGACTTGGAACTCTTACGTAAGGGTTGGACTGAATGAATCCCTGGTTCATACCCTTGTCCCCTGGTTATTATATCCAGCTTGATGATATCTCAAAATGACTTTCGCCTCATCCCCTGCAAATGCTCCAATTTAGGAACATGGACGCCTGCAATAGCCACATGCCACGATGGGCAAGAATGGAAGAGCAAGTGAGTGCCTTTTTGCACGAATCGTTCACTTGCGAAAGTGGATCGCCTTTTGTCTCTGAGTTCACGCTCCAACTTCACGTATCCCCACCGCCGAAGGAATATCTGGATGGGGCGTACTCCGCAAGCACGCGCCAGTTGCGCGCCCCTTCCCCATTAAAGAAATCCATTCACACAGACATCAAGAGCCTATGTGGCCCCCTTGATTTGAGGCTTTGGCTAGGGCAAAACTTGTCTTCGGACCGGTCTCTGAGTTGGGGAACCCACGCAGTGGTTCTATTATCGTCGCGTTGCTGGCCAGGTCCCAACCTCCGACCACAAGCCCATCGTGAGCTCGTGGCATCTTGGCTATGTAGCCGCGCGAGTTAGTTGACACGCCATGTCCAGGCGAATCAGTGGCATCTTCCTTCACCCCGCAAGAAGACTGTAAACACTCGCCTAAGAGGAGCCAGCAGACTTGAGTGGAGAGGTTAATGAGCACGAAGCCCTCCTAAAAACAACATCCTAGAAACAACAGCCTCCCAAGGCCGAGCACCTGCCCTTGGATTGTTTCCTGTCCATAAGTAGAGCTTCGCGGGGCTGTTCGCGACAATGCTTTGACAGACTTGGAGCCACGCAATCCTATGTGGGGCAGGTGCAAGTGGACATCGACATTCACCGCAGCCAGTGTCTCGAAGCATCGGCTTTCGGGTGAATCCATGCATGGGCCCAAGATTGTCAGAGGTGTATCCCAAGCTGCGAGAAGCACTTCAGGAGTTTGAGCTTGAACATGATAGATGCTCTCTGCAAAAAGCATTGGATGGGCTGGTCTCCCTGCTTGAGGAGGACCTCGTTTCAATGGAGGATTTAGCTGTGGCATATGTGCAGGATAATAGGCTGATAGGGTGGCCTCATACGTGGGGGCTACGTGGTGACTGGCGAACTCTAGTGGAAAATCTGTTGTGCCTGCTCAAGCCAGTGGAAGAGGAGTTACTTCCCCCACGAGGGCCTGTCAACTGCCGCATTTGGGAAATCTTTGCGAGGGCAAAGTTCCAGCAGAGGCAGTGGTTCGTGGTGGCTTCGATTCTTCGCAATATGAACCCGCGGTTGAATGTGGATGAGCCTGCTCAGCGTCCGGGCCTGCCAGAAGATCATGTGATGGTAATGACAATTCAGAAGGGTTTCAATCACCTCTTGGCATCTTTTCATGCTGTCCAAAGGCATTTGGAAAGATGCCAACTTATCAGTACCGAGCTCCAGACCAACATGATCATTTTCAGAGCACGACTCGAATCATGTTCCCGAAGCATTGTGGGCGCAATCACCCGTCAGCCATGGTGTCAGCCAGGCAAGTATCTCCCACGCCCAGACGAAAATTTCGATGCGCACATGACAGAGCGCTGGCAGTGGCTTTCAGCCGACGCTTGCAAGATCGCGGAGGAGGTCGGAAAGCTGCCTTCCATGTCTGATGCCTCTGAGGTCATTTCGCTCAGCTCATGGAGCATGATCTCCGAGACTGCCAGTGACCGAGGGCCAGCGATGCTGACGGCACATTTGGAGCTTGAGAGTGTGGCATCCCATTATTCAGTTGACAGCGACATGTCGTGCCTGTCCGGGCAAGGTGGGCCGCACTGCTTTTTGCCTTCCTATCTCTTCAAACATCCACAGGCAGCTGGAGCAACAGCCTGGGTGTCCGCGCAGGACTGGGGAACTGTTGTGAAATCTGGTATAGAATCAGGGATGGCTCTTGCACGTTCTTCCTAAAGATTTTCGTGCCCAATTCACTGGTGGGCAAGCGCCTAGCTCCCAACAGATGTAAGTTGGGTTTCGATCTCCAGTTGCATTTCCATAACAAACCCCACCAGCAAACTGCTACTCTTGGGGAAATCGAGGGGCCCCTGCAGCTGTTGGTTCTTCCGGCTCAGCGCACTCTTTGGATCATGGCTGACTCCAGGACCTTCAGAAGGGCACGAAGATCCTTGCGGCAGATGGTGCCGTCATCGAGGTGCAAAAGGTGGAAGCACAGAAGACCCAGAAGCTGCTGGACCTGGAGACACCTGGGTTGGAAGGAGGGGGAAAATCGGCTGGAGACGGAAGATACATCATGATAGAACAATCTTCGGGTTCCCAGGGGCTGGTTGCAGATGTCCCGTTGTATGTGGTGTATCCTTGTCGTCAACCCATTAGAACAGCCTGGATTTGGAAGGTACCAGCATAGCGCACATGTTGCTTGTTGCCCAAGGGTGCCACATAGTTTTTTTTTTTTTTTTTTTTTTTTTTTTTTTTAAATTGCGCTTCCGATTGCGACCATTTCCGACCAACAGGTGGCAACAGGTCCAACTTCTCCGCTGGCATCTTGGGCCACCCTCATCTGAGGATAGATGATGCGGTGCCCTTCACAACCACTCCCAACCACCGCATCATGGTGCCATCGGACGACCAGACGGTGAAGGCGATCAAGGTGGAAGTGGGGAGTTGGGTGATGTGCAGCGATCGCATGGCCAAGAAGGTCATTGGAAAGAAGGAGTACCTGGCAGCTGGGCTGTCAAGAAGGGCTCACTTAGGACGGTCAGGGCGATAGTTTTCCTACAGGCAATTTAACGGGTGGTGTTGGAAAATCTAGATTAGAAAATATGCGTGGCAGACCTCCCCAGACCCACTCAGACCTTTCGCTGAGATCATCTGCCCAGGTTGAGGAGCAAGAGGTCTTAGCCATTACCTTCCATCCCGACAAGGCGGTGGCGTGCTTCCTCCCCCCGGAGGAGCCGGTGGTGTTGAGCAAGGGCCTCACACCCAAACCCATCCGCCGCGGCGGCATGTGCCGGCGAGCTGCCAGAGATGAGGTTTGCAGTGTGGTGACAATGGGTGAGTATGAGGAGTGAGCGGGGTGTAGGGCCAATATTTCGGAGCTTCAAGGTTTGGCAAGTTACAAGCTCTTTTTGCGGTGTTGGATTCAGTGCACTTGCCTGTTGGATACTTGTTGGATCTTGTTGGGATGAAAGGAAAGCAGACCCCTGAAAGTCCCATGGTTGTTCGGATTTCAGCAGTGCCAGCCTTGTTCCCAGCTACCAGCAAATATTTGTCAAATCCTCGAGAGCACGGCTCCTTGAGTCAGTGACCTGAGCTAGAAAGGTGAGGCATCCGTGGACTTCACAAAACGGGTGGCCTGTTTCTGTTTCAGCTGTTTAGTTTGGGTGAAGAGGTTTGGTAGTGCAGTGGTTTTCCCCCTTGATGCGTATAGCGGGATGCATCCTAACGTGGAATCTTCGGATGTCCTCTCCAGTGGCTAGCGCACATGATCCTTCAGAGTGCCTTTCCACACAAACGCTTGCAACTATAGTGCGATCCCACCCCCAGAGAAAGTATATGCTTGGGGACCCCCAAAATCGATCTGCCACAAAGCTATGATAACCAGGGTGTGTGTGTTTTTTTGTTTGTTTGGGGGGGGGGGAGAAATTAAGTGTAGACCGAAGAGTCAGGATTCAGGATGGCGCGCGAAAGCCCGTTTGGTGAGATTGCAAGGAAGTCGTGCTTGAGTCATGGCCTTGGATTGTGCCGTGCTAGGTTCATGGGCAGCAATGGAAACTGATGGTGGCTGATTGTGTGGCAATGTAGGCTTGCATGGGGTTGTGGAACTACCATTGCAGGGATCCTGGATGACTACCATTGGATAGCAATTTGAAGGGTGACAAACTCGAGCTTTTGTAGGATATTGACCATTCGAAATGATTGGAACGACGAGGTAGTCATCCCCGTACATCTCCTACACTCAATACCTATACAGTGAATACAAAAAATGAATGTTGATTAGCTGATATTTCCGAATACTGTTGACATCCAGGGTGGAAACATTTCCCAGCAATCTCACCACATGATCAGAAGGCCATGTGGCTGTGCATTTTTGACTGCCAACCACGGCAATTTCAGCGGCTGGAACTGCTCCTGGAGCAAGCTGCCACGTGGTCGTTGGGGTCCTGGGCGCCATGAGGCTTGAGACTAGGGCAGCTCACTTTGGATGGAGACCCTGCAAGTTGGGATGTGCCCTTGGCTATAGGGGCTACGGCATACATGTTCCAACTGGCTAAAGTGGACGCGCATCCAAGTGGCCATGGGTTGTTATGCCTCTTCGAGCGTCAACAGGTTGCTTACAACTCAATTGTGGTATTTTGGGGTCACCTCAGGCATGCTTACCAGTTAAGAAATTGACCATGGCCTATTTGAGTCGTCCCTAGAGAAAGTTTCTATATTTGAGGTCAATTGCGCCTGGGTTTTGCACGGCGCGCTTCGTGCACACGATCTTTCGCAGTGCCATGTGACCCGCAATCCAGACGAAGCGACAGCCACGGGAAATCGGAAAAAGCTCGTGGTTGCCCTTTAACCTGGGGCCTCTCCTCAACCATATGCGCCTCTTAAGTGATGAACTTCCCCGCGTAGGGCCCTGGTTCAAACAGCAGGGGGGGCTGAGGACCACCGTGGGATCTCTCGCAATCCTGCATGCTTGTCAGATCATCAGTGCTTGGCAGCTTGCCCAACAGCAATGCCTGCACACTTGGTTGATTCGGTTTTAAGTACATTGTCCCCAGAATTCCTATTCCTAGCGCGAAACCTTGCGTCACTGGCCGGTTGCCATTCCTGATGCCAATAGGTTGCAGAAGCACGTTGCCACTGAGTTGCCCCAAAATGCCGCAAGAGGATGGATAATTCAAGCAGCAAACATCTGGGCATGAAACAAACTATCAAACAAACATCAAGGGGCTGGACACTTGTTGAATTCCCACACCCCCTGTACTTTACCCGGTAACCGCCCGTCAACAACATGGAAGTGCGCAGATCTCTTTTAAAGGAGCCCGTCCACATCCACGTTGGCCTGTGGAAGGGTACCACCCACCACTCGCCCTTTCCGTGTTTTTCTACGTCACCTAACCCAAGTTTGTTTCCTTTGGCTGGGGTGATGTTCCAAGGGGCAATGTAGCTCGCTCCGATGTTTACACCTTTTCTTTTTTTTTGGGGGGGGGAGGAACCTTGGCAAGGCTACCAGAGAGGCCAACAAGCTCAAACTTGATTTTCCCGGTGCATTCGCAGATGGGCTTATCTGAAAATTCTGCAGTCTTGTTTAGGACAGTCCTAAACGAACAAATGCCAACAACCAGCGTGGACCAGCACCTACTGCGGGTGGACGAAATCCTGCACCACCTAAAAAAAACCTGAAATGATGCTTCCCCTGCAAATACCAACCCACAATGGTTTGCTATGGTTTCAAAGTGGTGCGAAAAGATTTCGTCCACAGTAAGACTACTTGCTCCCATGCCCAGCACGCGCTGTCCAGCCCTGTGGCCAAGGAAACTCCTGGCGGCGCCGGCTTTGTCCTTGGCCGCGCCGCGGCAGGTCAGGCTGGAGGCACAGCTGACGGACGGCTTCGAGGGTCAGCTGCTCGGCGAATCGGCTCTGCAAAGCCTTTGGTTGCTACCGTGGCTGGACGAAATCCGTTCGCACCACCTTGCTTCCCCAGAATTAGTCCCCCTCTTTATTTGTTTTGCTTTTTTGGGGGTCCCTTTGTTTTCCACTAGCGGGCAAAACACATTTTTTTTTGCTGGGGTCCTAATTCCAGCCAAGTTTGAAACCATAGCAAACCATTGTTGGTTGGTATTTGTAGGGGAAGCATCACCCCAAGGTTTTTTACACAGTATGTATGTCTTGCCCAAGTGTGTCAACAACCGGCCATTGGCCCAAAAGCAACAAGGCAAAGTGAGAATAAATGATGGGACAAAATCCCACACCACTCACTCCTACGTCCCTGCGCTTTCAACACAGCTCAAGATCAATGTCATTGAAGCGGTTGCTTCTCCAAGCTACTTTTGGGGGTGAGACACCTGCTCAAATCACGAATTAGAGGGCAATTTTGAGGATATGACTTTTTGATGGACTCAGCAATGCGCAAGGACGTAGGAGGGAGTCGTGTGGGATTTTGTCCCATCATTTATTATCACCCTGCCTTGCTGCTTTTGAGCCAATGGCCGGGTTGTTGACACATTTGGGCAACACATAGCAACCAAAGGGTCGCGGTTTGCAGCCGAGCACCCATGAATTGCAAGCAGAGGCGAGATGAGCGGCGGCAGAGC